TTCCTATCTATGAGTCTATTCATTATCAATTTAGTATTTACATGCAAAATACTTTTCATTCATATTTCAAAATATCTCAGTGGTAACTTTATTTTTAATTGTACAAAACAGATGTAGAATGCTATAATTCATTCTTATTGCTCCTGGCAGAATTTGGCATACCAGTGTAATATGATAAAAATTTGGGAACAAACAATTTCATATATCATTGAAAATGAACTAAAGATATTACCTAAATTACTGATCAAATTTGTTGTTTTAGACACAGCCCAAGTCCAGGTCTGGCGAGTATGTGGGAGAGCTTCCATGCTCTCTTGCACTTGCTGGACCTCTCTTCACTAAGCCCAGGCCCAACCCGTGAGTGAGACCTTCTGCCACACTCTTGGGACCCCTCCACTCCTCCACAGCCAGCCCAAGCCTACCGCGTGAGTGAGAACTTCCGACACACTCTCTGGACCCCTCCAGACCCAGCCCAAACCCAGGTCTGGCGAGTGGGTGGGAGACCTTCTGGGCTCCCCTACACCCCCTGAAGCCCTCCAGACCTAGCCCAGGTCTGGCAAAAATGACTGGGGTGAAACTCTGCAGCTGAAGTTCCTGCAGAGAGACTAGGATCAGAACCAAGCAGTTTATCCACAAGCAGAACATCTTGCACAACAGGGTCACTTCCAAGGGCTGCAGTAGGAAAGATCTGAGCACAGCAGCCATATCCAAGCCAGGCACCACTGGACAAATTCAAACTTAGTAGATCTACAACCAAATTTCAGGAGGTGCTAAGGTTATAACTGCACCAAAGCTCTATAACAAAGGTCAGAGGACAGTGCTATACAAAATGACAAATAAGAAAATGCAATCTCAGGCCTTGAGCCCACCAAAACAACTGCAGAAGACACCAGAACAGAAGAAATTAGGAATCACACAGCTAAAATGTCTGAATCAATAGCATCTGAAGGAAAGAAACAACAACAGAAAGGTATAGAGGAACTCAGATCAGAAATAACCTCTGAAATAAAAAAGAAAATAACTGAATTAATAGAGTCTGAAGTAAAGAATCAAATGTAGAAACATATAGAGGAAATCAAATCAGAAATAATCTCTGTAGTAAAAGAATTAATAACTGCTTCTCAAGAAGACACTGATAAAAAAAATAGAGGAGATTAGAAAAACAACAGATTCCTTGAATGAGAAATATAGGAAAGAAACAGATCGCATTAAGTCAAAGAGATATAGAGGAACTTAAAATCTCAAATACAAGTTTGCAAAACCGTTTGAGTGAAAGTGAAGAAAGAATTTCAGATCTTGAAGACGCCATCACAGCTAGTGAAAAGGTAAGAAAAGATCTCTTAAACACAACTAAGATGCAGGAAATAAAAAAAATTATCACCTGCAAGATGATGCAAAGATGAACAACGTGAGACTAACAGGCATCAATGAGAAAGAAGGAGTCAATATATATGATATAAAAAGAATATGGGCAGAAGTAATAGCAGAAAACTTCCCAAATATGGGGAAACAATCTGACATTCAAATAACTAAAGCATAAAGAACTCCAAATAACAACCCAATTAAAAACACACCCAGACATAAAATAGTCAAGATCCCAGAAATCCAGCACAAAAACAATATACTGAAAGCTGCTAGAGAAAAGAAACAGATCATATTTAAAGAAAAACCCATCAGAATAACAGCAGACTCCTCTTCACAAACTATGAAGGCAAGAAGAGCAAGGAGCAGAGTACGTCAAGTCCTATATGAAAACAAATTCCAGCCCAGACTACTATAACCTGCAAAACTCTCTTTCAAGTTTGACAGAGAAGTGAAATATTTCCATGACGAAGAACAACTAAAGAATTTCATGATGACAAAGCCAACATTACACAGACTACTAAAAGTTATTCTAGAGAGGGACCAAAATGATCAGAACTCCACAAATGAGAACAGACTAAATATGACAAACAAACACAAAAGAAAAAGGAGTAAGCAAATTTGCTGTTTTAATTTTTAACTTATTGGTGTTCATTTAAAGCTAGTTTAAGAGAAAAAAATGCAGACAGTTGTATCCTATACTATTTATAATCAATCTTAATAAAAAAGACATGGAACCACAATTCTTAATGGAATTCTACATTAATAAAAATCATAGGCATGCAAAGTGTTGTTCTGGACAAAAGCCTCCTTTCTCTTCTGTTCTACTATTAATGTTTCTACTTCACT